CACACACAGTCACACTAATCACACGAGTGCTGTCCATCCGTCCAACCCCGACACTCGTTAAGGCATGTGTACGTGCTTGCAACGCCTGTGTTGGTATGAAAGAAGGCCGCTGAAATTGGTCGCATAATTACACAATAGGCTAGGTTACCGGAGCTTTGCTAAGTAAATAATGAATAGACCAAGGCTAATGGTTCACGATGCATGTGCCATTGGTGGTTTTCGGGAATAGATAAAGTTCATTGCTGGAGAAAAATAAGCGAAGCCACGTCAGCGACAAGGATGCTTGCTCTCACCTTTTCTCTTCATACTGGCAATTGATTGGATCATGAAGGAAGCCACCAGAGGCAAACGAAATGAAATACAGTGGATCCCTTAGCAGCAGCTGGACGACTTGGACTTCGCTGATGACCTTGCACTGCTCTCTCACACACATGCTCACTCAGATGCAAGAAAAGACCAAGGAACTCATCAGCCTATCAATGAGTGTTGGCCTACGCATACACCCGGGCAAGTCGAAAGTAGTGAAGCTAGGAAAAGTGTCAAGCCCTGCTGTGACAGTGGAAGACAATCCCATAGAAGAAGTGGACTCTTTACCTACCTTGGAAGTGTCATCGATGGTAAAGGTGGAACTGAGGCAGATGTAAAAGCAAGAACCGCCAAGGCAAGGTTAGCATTCAAGCACTTATCAAAAGTCTGGAAAGCAAGCAACATCTCACTGCGCATCAAGATTCGACTCTTTAATTCCAATGTCAAGTAAATGCTGCGATACGGCTGCGAAACTTGGAAGACAACAAAGACAGTGCTGAATGAAGTACAGACGTTCATCAACAGATGTTTGAGGGGTATCCTAAGAATTGAGTGGCAGGATAGAATAATACATGAAGAGCTACGGGTAAGGACAGAACAAAAGGATATAGAAGTAGAAATAAAACTAAGAAAGTGGCGTTGGATAGGACACATCTTCAGAAAGCCCAACGGAAACATCACAAGACAGTCACTGCAATGGAACCCACAGGGAGCACGAGGCAGGGGTAGGCCACGAGAAACATGGAGGAGATGTATGGAAAGGGACAGGGGAGAGATGAGGCTCACTTGGAACGAGCTAGGAAGGATGGCCCAGGACAGAGATAAATGGAAGGAGCTTGTATGCGGCCTATACCCTACCAGGGGTGAAAGGCACCCATGATGATGATGACGTTAGTGGGGACTGTTCACCCGGAAAGTGACTTCGTTGAATCAGAGCTTGCTCATTTATGTTTTCGTTGAATCCGAATTATTCTATTTACTAAAAACAAACAAACAAAATAAATCGGGGAATCCAGCTCCTTTTGTTGAATTCGAGTTCCATTGTGCTTGCGTTGGACATTGTAATTCTTAGTTACACTGACAGGCCTACTGTTATGTTGAAGGGGCTAGCACAATAAGAAAAACACATGTGACATCCATGAACGGGTGTTCTGAGATTTTCTTTGTTTAATTGACCTACATAGAATAACACACATGCGGGTAACACCGACTTGAAAAACTAATACCGTACTTGGTGTGATTAGTGTATCTAGGACACTACATCCCTTCTAGCCTTGTATGGTTACTTCGTTTAAAATCATATTTTCCTTAGTGTGGAAGAAGAAGAACTGATGTACAGCAACTTCTTTAGCTATTTATTTAGTAGTTGATTGAAGGGGATGGACATCAAAGAGACAAAATAAAACGTTTGTTAGTCGATGGACATAGAGTGGTTTTTTAAAAGTTTTTTAAATAAAAATATTAGTTTTAACTTTAACAAGAGGTAGATGTACATGTGATGAAAAATAATAAAGGAACATTACGATAACGAATTTCAGCAAGCTCTTGATCTTATGCTAACTTAGGTGTTAGTTCTTGATTATTTTACTTACGATGAGATTGACAACAAAAAAAACATGTAGACGGCTAGTCAGAAACTAGAAGTGAATGACATAATTGAGTCAACATGAAACGGATACATAATATGTACCAAAATTTCTCTGCTTACACTACAGATACGAAACTGTGCGAAGAACCAGAGTACATTGGACACGAGACAAAACAGAATACATTGAGTTAATTAGTAGAAAATTTGTTTGACACGATTACAATGTTCATGTTTCAATTTCAGCTTGACGAATGTTCATTTGGCCCTAAATGTCCTTCATTTTCAGCTAATCAGTACCGGGTAGAGTTAGTCACATAGTCTTTTAGGTATCCAGGACGCTTACGGTGACGTTGGGGACGTTCAGTAGCGATTGGTTCATTGTTAGTAGCTGGGTTTTGGTTGTCTGCTGTTTCATT